GCATGTAGCTCATGCCACTGCAAAAGAGCTGCTTCTCCTGATGAACAACTTTCACAATCATCTTAAATTAACAGTCATTAGAGGATTATGTTAATTTTTATGTTGGTTGATGGCATTTAGATAGAGAAGAGTCCTGTAAGTTGTCTCCCCAGTTATGTAATGCAGCTTTTTTACTTACAATTGTCATTAATTATGTTTCAGCTCAGGAAACTGCCTAGATGCCACAAGTTAACAGGAACAAGTAGAACTGAAAGTTGAAAAGAAAAACAAGTAGAACTGAAAGAAGAAAAGAAAAACAATCCAAAGGTCAGTCTGGGAAGGAAAAGAAAAGCTAGTGATCAAGACGTGTCATTGAGTTCCTCAGACTGTTCAGGCACAGCAGCAGGTGGAGAAGATCCTGATAGGAAAACTGTAGTTTGGTAGCAATGTCTCAAAGTTTAGATTTAGTTAGTAGCCTACAGTGAAACTAATCACATTTCTGACTAAGGAAATGTACAGACGACAGTCTGTTAGTAAGGAATTTTACTTGCTCAGTGAAAAAAACCCAACCAAATCAACCAACCAACCAGAAAATCCCACAAAAACAAACAAAAAAAGAGGGATTTTTTAAACATATTAGGATTGATGTGAGGACCTTCAGTCAAATAAGTTATGTGAAGGCAGAGGTTGTGTCATTGCTAAAATGGGGTCATATTGTATGAGGATCAAAGAGGAAAAAGCATATGAAAAAAGACTCTTAGAAGAACTTGCTTGAGCTGAAAGACAAAAGAAAGGTCAGCTGGCTTTCAGGAGAGAAGAATGGATCACAGCTTGAGATGGATGGTACAGAACATAGTAAAAAAGCCCCATAAACCTGCAGGAATTTTTAACAGAAAAGCAGACTGGAAGTTGCAAGGGTCAATCTGCAAAATGCAGTCAGAAAGAGCCTGCAAGAAGCAAGAATGAAAGGGTGCACAAATTGTTTAAGCAGAGACCAATGTGACTTCCAACACCTGCTTTGGACTTAGTAAATGGAAAACGATATTGAAAATAAAATACAGTTAAGGAGACCAAAGCTGAAGATACAGACCAAGAAAAATTTACAGAACACACACTGAAATAAAACTTTTCCTTGGGAGTGAGTAAAGACAAAGCTTCCTTCAGTGGTGGGGATATCACGTGTAGACATTTCCCAAGCATTTCTAAGTTGAACACTGGCACACCAATTAATGGGTCCTCTTACATCGCTGGAAGCCATTTGTAAGGGAAATCTAAGCTTATTAAGAACAGGTGGATAAGAACCAGGTCAGCCTTCCCTATTGCTCCTATTTGTAAGCTAGATGTAAAAGTAACCTTGTAAAGACAGTTTGAGTTGCTCTGGGACTCAACATGCCTGACAACAGGTGCTGAAAAAGAACAGGAACAACCAGCAAAAACTGTTGCCTGAGATCTGTCTCCTACACCCCTAACTAAAGACTTCCCCTTCCCCATTGTTACCACAGTGATCTGGGTTCATTATTCCCTCAACCTAGAAAGAGCCTTGTTAAATAATGCAATTGTTGAGCATGCCATGCCAAGAACAATATCTGTGCTTTCTTCACCTGGCACCCATACAGTGGTCATGCCAGGTTATGGGGCTCAGGTTGATTTTTAACAGTTTGAGTGTTTTGGAAAATAATATGTCATTCAGCACATTCAGTCAAGCATTAGGTTTCTGCAGTTTAATCATCCTGTAATAAATTCTGTCAAAATTGTTAAAAGGTTTCTTAAAAACACTGAGAAGTCAAACTCAGCACCAGTAAATGAAAAGAAAGCCTGAAAACTTGCTGAGGTCTTATTTAATAGAAAGCCTACACCAGTTGCATGAATGTGTAACCAACTGTGTTAAAGCTAGGCTTGCTGTGAAGCCATAAGAGAACCACAATAAAATCAATTAGAAATACATTATGATGAAAAGATCACTTGAGCTAACATCCTTGCAGGCAAAGACAGTACATTTGAACACACAGAAAAAATACATTATTTATATGAGTACAAAATGCATCCATTGATCCTTATGAATAGTTGCTGGTTCCTGAAAAGCAATTGCTAAAGAAATTACTGGAGAAGCTGCTGATGCCCACAGCAGCCTGTCCAGGAGACGACAAAGAGAGGCTGCTGCTGCAGAGCAAGCCCACTGCAGCACTGCCCATCCTGTGTCAGTCTGGCTGACGTAGGAAGAAGCAAACCCCTCAGAAATCAGTGTTCCTCAGGCCAGACCTGTCCCATCACCATCTTGGTGACTGTGAAACTGTCAATCACGTGCATGAGTCAGAAACAATCAACAGGTCTTAAATTTTTTCAGGGGGAAAAAAAAAAAAGTGAATGAAAAGCCAATAGGCAGGAGATGACAAAGAGAGGCTGCTGCTGCAGAGCAAGCCCACTGCAGCACTGCCCATCCTGTGTCAGTCTGGCTGACGTAGGAAGAAGCAAACCCCTCAGAAATCAGTGTTCCTCAGGCCAGACCTGTCCCATCACCATCTTGGTGACTGTGAAACTGTCAATCACATGCATGAGTCAGAAACAATCAACAGGTCTTAATTTTTTTCAGGGGGAAAAAAAAAAGTGAATGAAAAGCCAATAGATCCATGCTTGGTGCCTGCCGACTAGCACACATATTGCTGATGGTTTGAAGCATTTCTCATCTAAAATGGTGCTGAAGAATGCTTTCTGCTTAGTACTTTGAAGGCACCCGGGTACTCCAGAGGCAGCCAGAGGTTCAGGTTGGGAAGAAGATTTAGCAAATTTATGATCCTGAGCAAAAGTCCCATGAAAAAGTATTCATAGATTAAGTTGCTTTTCACTTTTACTAGCAGCTTTTACTCTCAGTGCCTTACTGGCTGAAATATTCCCGAGTGTTTTAGCTTTAGATTCCCAGATCTGCTTGGGCTGGAGGTTCAGGATCTTCTTATGCCAGTTAAAAATCATGCTGCAGCCTGCTCAGCTCTCTGTTGGTGTCAACACAAGCAGAACTGGAAATTGCTCATGCTGAACACCATATTTTGGGTTTGGGTTTTGTGGGGGTTTTGGCTAGGTAGTTTTCAAGCAGTTGAATTCCTTCATCTGCTCCACTCCATCCAGCAGTGGCATGGGGGAAACAGCAGCAGCACTCATCTGGAGGCAGGAGTGCTCCTTTGAGCAGTAGCACAAAGGGAGAGTTGCAAAGGGTGACCCTGAAAGGCTGCAGGCTCCTCAAGGAGAACTTCCATGTCAGATCTGGTACTCCAGCACCTGCAGAGCCCAAGCAGTGCCACACCACTGCACACTGTTATAGCTGCTCATACCAGATCCTGCCTATCTTCTTGATATGACACCCGGCATCTAATTCTGGAGGCAGCTGGAGGCTGTGAGAAACTCTCCCTCCCTGTAGTCAGAAATAGTTTTGACTTACTGGAAAATCTTATTTTTCTTCCAAACTGTGCATGTTTTCACCTGTCCTCTGTTCTCTGCCTGTTTCCACTTTTTCAGATCAACAACCCCCCCTTTTCCTGTGGCTGGCCTGCTTCTCAGCAGGCTCTTCCTTACCCTCTCCTGCCTCTGATGAATTTGGCAATCATACTCTGAAGCCCAGCTTGCTGGAAACAACTTTCTCCCACATGATGAGTGGTTTCTTCTGTCATGGAGGAGAAGAATGGGGGAAGATGATTTATACACAGCCACCATTCCACAGAGTATTTTGTATAATAGCAAAACTCTTCCCAAACCCTCCATCTCCCAGCCCCTGTCCTGCCCAAAGGCTGCATGTCCAAGCCCCCTGATGAAGCCATGGAGGAAATCTATGGAATGTTGCAAGTACCAATGTAGGGTGACAGCTGAAAATGGTCACTGTTCAGTCCCTTCTCATCCACTCTGAGTCACTTTAAGTGATATTCATTTTTACTTCCTGACTGTGTGGAAAGTTCTCTGCTCACCTGTGAATGACAGGACTAGATCACTAATTTGCAAAAGAACAACCTTTAGGCTTCTGCAAAAGCAATGAAATGTGGAATTGAATGAATTAGTGTAGCTTAGGGACTTTCTGCAGTCACCTGTCTTTCAAAATTCCCTAAAGACACTGATTGTGCCTGAAGATAGCAGCTTTAGGAAAGCTGATGAGATCCTACTCACAGCCCTCCTCTTGGTTCCTCCCAGCTGTGGCACACACAAGTGAACTACTTGTGACTCCTCTGCTGAATTACAACTTATACCTCACGACTGTTTTAAGATAAACCATTCATTTTTGTTTCCATGCTATCACTCATCCCAAATGTTATCCCATTATCCACCAAGTTTCAAGTACTATGACCATAATTCATGCTTTCCCCACCATCCATCCTAGCAGGACCACATGCCACTGGGGCACTTTTCCATCCTCCAGAGAAGTTCCAGGCAGCAGCAGCAGGGTAATCCAAAACAGCCACCACCAGTGCCAGCCTGCAGGGTGGGAAGGAGGTGGCTGTGCCAGCAGCCAGCCCTCACAAAGCCCCAGTGTCTCACTGCTCAATGCTGCAGGAACTGGCTCCACAGCCCTGGTGGGACACTGCTGTGTGCCATTATTCAGCTCACCATGGACTTCCTCACTGCTGGTGTCATGGCATGGTGGGGATCTAGCTTCAGCAGCTGCCATATCCCTGCTTTTCTTGACCTAGATCCAGTGGGAACAGAGGAAGGACAGGGTGTCACAGGGTGTCATTCAGGCTAAGGCCTGAATGTTGTTTATTTTCTTAACCAAATGCAGACTTGACACAGCAGAAAATGGTAAGAAGAAATGCCAGCAATGTGACCAGGAAACAAAGCAAATTCTTTGCCAGAATTAATTACAAAGCCTTCAGGATGCAGGAGCTTCCTGCCATTTATTTCAAAAACAGGCCATGATTCCTCTCTTGAGCACCATGATGTAGGTACTTTCACTTTTCCTTCTTCCACATGCCCTGCTCAGCCTCCCTTTGGCATATCAGCACCATCACAGGCAGGAATTAACCCAAGGTAACCATACCAGTGGATCAAGGTCATAAAGACATTCCACCGCTCATTACAGGACCACACAGCTGGTCTCAAGGCTGTACTCCAAAATATAGGCAGGGTAAATTTGTTGCTTCTCAAAGATGACAAAGATGGAAGGGTCTGTTGGGTCATCCACGCAGCTGTCATAAAGTCTGTTTGAATTTTTGTCTCTGGGTGGAGGGCGGCAGTACTCAGGGTTCCCCCGCACAAAGTCTCCAGCAAGAACCTGAGCTACGAACATGCTGTAGCGCCCACCGAGAGAGGAGCAGAACTCATGGGAATAGCTGGCATCTCTGGCAAAGTAGCTTCCTAGGGAGCAGAAAAACCGACAGGTCAGTACACCAGCCAAGGGACAAGCACGTGCTAACAGCACCTTGGCAGCCAGCAATCCAACAAGCCCAGCTAGCCCTACAACGTGTGGGAACATTCTTGCCAGGTGTTCCCACCCTGGCTTATTGTAAAGTACCGACTCCAGTCCACATTTCACCATCAGCCTCCCAGTCCCACCTGTCCAAGAGCAGGCACCTGAGGCAAAGAGGTGTTTTTAGCCCTTCCTGGAATGGGATTGCTGCTGTGGGTTCTACCTAAAGCAATGCAGATGTACACAGGTGACCATGCCCTAAAGGCAGGAGTACGTGGGTCAGGAACCATCAGTCACTTCGCACCCACATCCCCCAGCCTCACTGGGGTCTGCAGTCCCTGCTGCTATAGCCCCTACACCCTTCTGCACTTGTACCTTTTCCATACATTGTCCCATGAGTCCCACAGAGTCTCCAGTCAAAGTTCTGCTCACAGATGGCAGACACGTGGGATGGACTTGTGCCATGGAACAGGAGCCTCTCATTCACCCCTTCCAATTGATGGAGCTTCTTCATCTTTTCTTTTTGCCTAGAGACAACCAAAAAAAAACCCCAAACAAACAAACAAACAAGAAAACCAAACCTACTTATTTTCTTGGTTCAAACAAGGAAAATTTCCCAACCCAACTCCTCGTACTTCTGGGTCAGGGAGGAACAGTGACACAAACCAGCCTCAGTGGGATTACTGCCTGCTTTGCACTTCTGCTGGTACCCTGCCACACAGTTGGCTCCTGCCAGCAAAACAAAAAGTTCTCAGCAGCACTATGGACTGTGTCATCCACAACTTCATACCACATGAGAGAGTAAAGAGACAAACATCTCTTGACTAGGAATTGGTCATTTCCCATGTTATATAAATCCTAAATACATAAATATGATTATAAAACTGAGCTGTATGAAGCTACAGTGAAGATTGTATAATCTCTGCTCTTATCTTTATCACCAAAAAAGTCTCCTTTTTTTTTTCCTAACTCCTATGTGGAAGAGGATAAAACCAAAAGTATAAACCTGAAACACCAAAGCTCAGTTATGATGAAGGAAAACTATTTCCCTTTTGAATAACACTAGCAAGAATCACACACATATCTTGCTAGGGATAAAAGGCTCCTTTCTGCACGCACAAAAGAATACGGATGCAATGCTAACAACTCAGTCACAGAGAAAGGAGCCCCAGCCCCCTTCCAGGACTGCCCCAGGGAAGCCTCAGCCTTAGGGAGCCAGGTTTTGGAGCAGTCATAAGTGTGGGCCACCAGCCAGACCTGGGCAGAGAGATATGTGGCAGCCTCACCTCTGCTGGACTGCTGAATTTGGCAGCTCTAAATGTAGACTATGGAGGACAACAGATCAGAAAATACCAGTCTTCTCATACAGTAAGGATAATGAAATAAAATAGATACAAACCACTGAAAAATGTCCCAAAGTGTTGGGTTCTGAATCCTCTGCAGTTGTTTGATGCAGTAATTTTTCATTGTCTTCTCAAACAGCCTCTTGATTTTTATATATTCTTGGGAATCATTGCTGAGCTGTATCAACTGAAAAATTTTAAAGCACTAAAAATAAGGTATTACTGAGAATAACAACTCCCAGTCCTTTCAAAGGATTCATCCACCTTCTCAAATCTGCTGAAAAGCCCTACTACAAAAATCACAAGCTGCTTCTGTTTTTCCTGTCAACCCTCCTTTACTATCACTCCCCATGTGGAAGCACAGGCACCGACTGAGGGAAACCAGTGCAACCCCACACGAGCTTCCTTTTGAGGGTGCACCTCTACATCTGGACTATTTTTAGCTCAGAGTAACCTAAAGTTGAAATGCACAGCAACATTGAGGCTGAAGCAGAGTGAAATTTTCACCTTAATCTGACACTCTACTCTGCTCTACAGGGCTAAGCTGCTATTTTACCACAGCAGATAACATCCTGCCCCAAACTGACAGAGGAAATACCACATTAAAATACAATTAATCTGGTTTATCAGGGGATGAAGTGCCTTGGGAGAGTGCAAAGGACAGGTATGAGCAGCAATGGCCTTTCTTACCCTGTGTGATATCATAGGGGAGATGATACCACATCATTCTCAGAGATCTCCCAGGAAATGCACATCTGTTCTGAATATGAAACTGTCAGTCTTGTTTCACATCATACCTGCTTATTTTACAAGACACATTTAAAAGGTGGTAACATCTCAATTGCCTTGAATTGTGGACTTGGAAAAATTAGTACAGGAGAGAGCTCTTGCCACCCACTGGAGAGCTGGAAAGTCCTACCTTGTACCCGATATCAGGTAGTGCAGTTTGGTCCCACTGTGGAGGATAGACATGATGTGATAGAGTCATGTTTTGGCTACAGAACAGAAAAAGGAGCCAGTCAGCTGGTGATACTCCTAACCAAATCCCCCTTCTGGTGAATCTAACCACAGGCTCTAAAGCAGCCTTCAGGCATCCATTCAGGAGCTATAGTTTGTTTTCTTTTTGAATGAACCCACCTTAGGTTGAACCAACACTTTAATTGAACCCTCAGCTTCACATGCATTGTCTGCTGGTAAGTTTCTAAAGCTGAGACAGCTCTTACTAAAATAAATCAGTAGCACAAATAACATTTATAGCAGATGTGTTCAAATTCTTTTAAACTGAACTTCTTTTAGAAAAAGCCATAAGATAGGGTATCTGAAGTAAGTGCCTCTAATTCACTTCATTTCAGTGGATTTGCCTGTTCTGAGTTTTAGTTTATCCTCAGCTTTCCAAGAGATGACATCTACATGCACCACAGCTCTTGGGATTGGCAGTCCCTCACTCCTAATTGCTGCACAGTTTATTTATTAGTGTTGGGGCATAAATCAAGGAATAATAATTCCTGGCACAGTTGTGTCAGTCCTATGTGGCCTTGCCTCTCACAGGGAGAGCAGATTTGCTCTAGTGGTCTTTCACAGCTGCCAGAGACTGCCAGCAAACATCCCTCCAGAGACTTTTACAGAAGCATTGCATAATTTACAAATACTGTCACTGCAAAATGTGCTGTTAAACCAGTCAGGAAAAGGTATCTAAAAATTAATTTAAGAACTATAAAATTGCATTCTAGGCAGGTAGGAGGAACTTCTTAGCAGAAAGGTGCTGTCCTCTAGAGATACTGTTAAACCATGAATGTGTATTACCTTCCATCTTGTCCATCTTCAGAGTTAGGCAGTCGAATAACACTTCTTTTAGTTTTAAAGAGCACATTTGTTTGGACCATGTCTTGAAAGAAAAACACAATAACTCAATAATGAGATAATTCATTGTCTAAGGACAGGCTCTTCCATGTTGAGTAAAAATAAAAGAAGAGGTAGCCCTGAATATTGCATTGTGGTGCTCTCTCTATTACACCCACCCCAGTGCAAACTTCATTCCCACTTGCACTGCTCCTCCTTGAAGATCAGCAAGGTCACCTACTAGCACAGGTTGTGGAACTTGAAGGCAACCAAGCACTAACTGCACCTGCACTGGTACTCATATCCAGGCTGCTGGCCAGAGAAAACCATATCTGATGGCAGGCCTGCAGCAGGAAAGAGTTTTCAGTGCAATGGGGGCCACAAACCTGGCTTTCCTGGCAGCACAGGGCTGCTCCATGGTGCTAAAAGCAAAGCTTGCCCTCCCTTCTTGGTCCTGTAACAATATCACAGAGCACATGCTGTGAGACATGGCTAATTATCCATTGTTTCCTCCTTTAAACACCACTCTTTACTCATGCCAGGAAACATTTAAAGTTTGGAAAGCTAACAGGAGTTTTAAGACGGGTAAATAAATTAGAAACAGAAAAGCATTTTTCATTTTCCCATTTCTCTCTCTATGCAACCAGCCCTAAATTTTTGTTTGCTGCACTGTGCTTTCTCTCCCTGTAAGTAGTAGCTTGCAAGATGTTCAGTATAGGCTCACTTCTTCACCTTTTGACTTTTCAGTGCCTTTTTATTTTTTCCCCCTGATCTCTCATTCTTCCTTTTCTTCCTTTTTTTTGTGTATAAACACAAATGTATAAGCCAAGGTGCCATGAAGCATTTACTCTCAGCTCTTCTTCCGAATATACAATATTGTCAGGTTTGTTTGTTTGACTACAGATGCCCAAGTATAGAAGCTCAAGTGGGGCACATCAAAAATTTAGAGAAATTTACCTACTGCTCAATTTCTGCTTGGAGAAAATTTGCAGGAGGAAGAAGAGCTGTTCAAAGAGATGCAGACATAGTGTGAAAACCTTCAAGCCATCTGCACTATGTAATGAAATTAAAACAAGGAGATACGTCACCTGAAAAGTCTAATTTATACTGCTGAGAACCAGCCCTGAAAAAAATAACACCATTCTTGTCAGCTTGATATTCATTCTCCAGAAATGCAGATGTTACAGTGGCAGTGACGTGACCTGGGTGCTGCAGAAAGAACAAGGAAATTATACATGTTAGAAACCACCCTTTGGTTTAGGTGCCACTGTGGGGAAATATCAATGTTTCCCCAGTCCCCTATGACAGGAGGATGTTTTCAAGTCTCTACAGCTTCAAGCATTTTGTTCTACAGAGATGAAGGGGTACCCCACCGAGCACAGCTGCTTCTAACAGCAGCAACAAAGCGGGCTTCAGCCTGTGTGGTCAGCTCCAGCCAAATGATATTTGTCAGCTCTGGAAAATGCACCCGCTTCCCAAGCCAGTCCCTTGGAAGCTTTCACAGAGTTCCAGTCCCACTTTGAGGGACAATTAAGAAGACAATTCCACCCAGGCATTGGAGCAGCACTGCAAGGGCACCCAGCAGCGTGTGTAGAACACACCAGCTGCAGAACAACATGCTCTAAAGAACTCTCCACAGATGGCTTAACAAAAGCTTTTTGCATGAACAGCAGATGAATTTCACCTCTTTCCCATACTCAATCCACTGCTTGGAATCATCGAGCCAATACCAGACATACTCCATTTTCAGGAGCAGACAGATGAGTCAGGAGACAACAAAGTGCAGAAGAGCTGATGGGCACCAGGCTGCTTGCTCTGCCCTGCATTGAAAAATAAATCCAGATCAAAGTAGGAGTCTTTTCTAAAGCTGTCAAATTGTGTAGTATTCCTGGTCTGATCAGAAATCTATTCACTTCTTAAAAAATGGAGACCCCCTGCAGCTGGAAAGTGCAGGTTTGCCCCAGAACTGAGGAATTGGTGTTTGGATGTTTATGGGGCATGGTAAACACCTCAGAAATGATCCTGATGTCTCTGGCTTGGACCTGTGCCACTGATTTTCTCAAAAATGTGTCTTCCTAAAAAACACATTTTAAGAAAATGCGCTTGACACTGACATTCTCCTGCAGCCCATAGAGAAGGCCATGGTGAGGGAGCTGTGCCCTGCAGCCTGTGAAGGTCCACGGAGCAGAGATCCACAGAGCAGCTCATGGAGAAGGCCACACTGCAGCATGTGGACAGGCCCTGAGGGAAGCTGCAGTTCATGGAAAAGAACACATGCTAGAGCACGTTTATCCTGCTGGACTGCAGCCTATCAGAAATGAACCACGCTGAAGCATGGGAAATTTTTGAGAATGATGGAGGAGTAGATGGCAAGTCATATGGACTGAGGACAACATCCATTTCCCTCCCTCTCTACATTGCTTTGATAGAAGGGGGTAGAAAAGTCAGGAATGAAGGAGTGAAGTTGAAACTGGGAATCCATGGAGGGATAAGTGATCTAATTTTCTTTTCTCACAATTTAAATCTATCTTAATTGGCAATAAATTAACTTCCCCCAAGTGAAGTCTGTCTTGCCCAATGTTCACCTCGGCTTTATCTCAGCTCATGAGTCTTATTTTCTTCCTGCTGTCCTGTTGAAGATCGGGAGTGAGAAAGCAGCTCTCACTTGCAGGGGGGGACATCAATACTTACCAGCAAAGTCTCCACTCTGCACTCTGTCCTAGACACAGCACCTACAAAGAGAAGAAAATTAAACAGATAGTCACCAATAATTTCAACCCATGGCATTTTACTTTTCTGCCTGCTGTGCTTCACCCTTCATTCAATCTCCCAGTTTTGGACCAAGACAACACTTTTTTAATGTATCTCACCAATTTACTGCCCCTACAACATTGCCTATCATGGATCACATATCCATAGCAAAAAGCTGCCAGCCATTGAGCTTCCAAGGGTCTGTGACAGAGCTGCTCTGAGCTGCCTGAAGAATCTGAACATGATATTGAAACAGAAACTGGAAATTATCATGTATCCAGCTCTGATGCCCTTTGTACTTTGGCAGGGATCAAGGGTATTCAGAGCAGACCAATGAGAGGAAACCATTACAAGAGCAGCTCCCTCATAGAACTGTTTACAGTGCAAAGGTCTCCAAAACAAAGGCGTGGCAGCCCCGCACCACCAGAACACAGAGCAAGGAAGAGCCCGGGTCCTTCACAGACCTTGTTCCAGTGCTGCCTGCATATGCAGTAACACCACCCAGGCCTGTTCCTAGAAAAATGCTCAAAAACTATTCTTCTCTCCCATTGCAGGGCATTCAAGAGATCCAGCACTACCAGGAGACTTTTTGGACATGGCTGTCCCTTTTTTCCCACTCTGCATAGCACCATGATGCTGCTGCTATTGGCACGGCTGAAGAATTTGAAGTTGGCAGATTTGAAGGGTGGAATTTGAGGAGGGAGGTGGGGAGAGAGGAAATGGAAAGAAAAGCAGGGAAGTGCAGTGGGATGATGTTTCCAGGCAGCTTTTTTCCACTGCTGCCCAACTCTCTCTTCCCTCTATCCCCACTCCAGATAACCCCTGCTAACCCCTGCCAGCTCCTCTGCTGAGACTTGGGGCTCCCAGTCTGCCCTAACCACGTGAGCTCGCAAATCTGTCCACTTGTGACCTACTTTTCTTTTCACTTTCCAGCATTTCTGCTCCATACTGGGATTCTCCACTCATCAGCTAACCCCAACTAGAAATAAACAGAGGTGAAACACTTCAAAAGCAGAAAGAAATGTATTGCCAGCACAACAGGTAGCGTCCTTCACATTTTGCTGAAGATCTCACTACATGGTCTTGTGCAACTCTACATTTGCTTTTTATATATTTTTATCTTAATAGGAATAACTTTATACAGAGAAAATTTTATACTTAAAAAGCAAACTTTTCCCTTACACAAGAAAAAAAGATGAATGAATGAAGATACAAACACAACTTACAGTATGACAAAGTGAAAGCAGGTAACTCTCCAGCAGACCTTAAAGCCAAGCCCACAAGCTATGAAAACCTGAACCTCCTGTGTGTCCAACCCTCCCCTCTCAGCTGCACCCTGGGAAGGCTGTCAGAGCCCAAGCACGTGCCACTTCCCTGGCACAGTTCTGTTCTTAGGCTGCCCAGTCACCACCCTCAGGAGCTGAGAGCATCAGCCTTGTGCTTTCCAGGCTGGATGAGCCTGCTTAGCCCTTGCTCTGCATGGCAAAGGTGCCCTGGGTGCAGCAACACCTTTGAAAGTGAGCCACAGCTGGCCTGTGAGAGCTCCCTGTGATCTGCCCACAGCACATCTGTACCTCTCTGTCTCCCTCGCAGCCTCTCCGTGGGAGCACGGGTTCCTCTCTGCCACAGACCCTTAAGGAAGTAGGGCTCAGTAACATTTCCTTCTGGTTGTTGCGACAGACACATGTGCTTCTGCCAAGCACAAGCAGGCCAGGCCCAGCCCAGGGCTTTGGCAGACAAAACTGCAAAGTCAATGTCACTACAAACCAGTAGAGTTTATTCCTGCTTCTGGGGTCCTGCCATTGTACTTACCTACAACCAATTCCTCTCAGCCTTACAATGGCCGGGCATATTCAGCACTTTGTCCTTTCTATAAGGAGCAGCTTCTGTTGAACATCATTCTTGGAAAGCCAACAGCTGACATTGCCTTCTAAAGTGCCCCCCCAAATCTCAGTGCAGGAAGTGGGTGTTGTTCATCCTGCTCTCCCCGGGGTTGTATGGGCACTGGTTGGGGGGTTTGCAGCAAGCAGAGCCATACTGAGCCACACAAACCTGTGTATACTGAGCACAGAGCCCTGCAAGACAGGCTTGCTCAGCCCTCGGAACTCTGCACCGTCCCAGGTGTTTTTGTTCCTGCACCTTGAAGTTTGATCCTCCTCTCTGCTCTTCCCCACACTAATCAGACAAGGCTTAGGAACTTTCCAGTCTGACCTCCAGCCTTTCGGAAGCTGACAGCATTTCCCAGCAGAGCTCTGAGGCATAAATCCTAACAACATGTCAAGTAGTCTTAAGATGCAAACTTGTTAAGCTGAAAGCATTTCTTTGACTTTTTATAAATCTCAGATTGTGTTCAGTTGAACTGCCCAGAACATTTTTCTTTCCTGGTGATCCAGTCACACCAGATCAGCAGTGGCTGAAATACATAAATCTCTGGGTTTCCAGAAAGGGTACACTCTGAGTGCATTCTATAGACATAGCATTGAAACAAACAAACCAACCCAACAACAACAAAACCCCTAGCATACACACACAAAAAACCAAACCAAACCAAAAAAACAACACCACAAATGTGATTATGAACTCACTTTCTTTCACTTCTGGCCATTCTTGAAGCTCTTAGACCCACTGAGGCCTAAGTGCTTCAGTAGACATGAGACAGGAGGTTTAGGAAGAGCATTCTGGCTTGGTAGAATATCTTTGCTGGGAGCAGCACACCATCCTCTCTGAAAACAAACAACTCTCCACAAACTGGAAACTTGAGCTCACTGTAAATTGATATCTTCTGAACATCATATTTTTTATTTTTATTCCTTTTAATTGCAATGTCATCCGTGGAACTGTTGAACCTCTGATTTCTCAACCAAGGTACTATACCTGTCTGACTTTCCAGTATCTGGGAATGGAACAGGTCTCAGAGCAGACATCCTATGTATAGTCCCGTGAGATCATATTCCTGCACAGTCAGCAGAGACACCCAAGTGTGGTTTCCCTGCATATGTCAAATGACTTATCCTTTATGGTAGCACTACTTAGTTTCTCCCAGGAATTTCAATTCTTGTGCGCTATTCTCTTCAGAGGAAATGGACAAAGAAGGGACTTTTCACCCTTTGTCTGTGCCTCTGTGACATGCAGTAGCCCTGTTGCAATCTCAGACTGCTCCAAGGTTTGGTGTGGGAGTCCTGATGCTACAACACATGCACACTGTGCTCACATGAGTATTGCAGCCTGGGGCCAGGCTGGCACTACCTCATGCTTTTACCTTAAGATGTGTAAAACCTCCAGACCAAAGTGGATGGACCCAGGAAATGTTGGGGGTGATTGAGCTCACCTGGTACTGCAAGAGGTTTTCTGCAGGTTGCCCCTCCAGCCACCCATACTGGGTCCTGATCCACCACTGGGGTGGGAAGGTGTACCAGGCAGTTCAACTTCAGGAAAGCCTGGCATGAGGAGGGACTGGCTCTTGTCTGGGATCCTGGAAGCATTTCCAGTTCTCACTTGAATCCATTCTATCATTTAAAGCCAGGAACTTCTCCTGTAGGTTGTGATGGTTTCCACTGTGAGGATTTTCCCAGTGAACTGTACTTCCTGTTGGACAATGTCCAGCAGCTTGTAAATTAAATTGTGGGACAGTAGTGGGGAAACAAGCCCTGCTACCACATTGCTGCTGACATTGCTGCTGTCCCAGCTTAACTCAGCCTAGGAACAGGAACCAGTCACTACAAGAATAATAATTCTCAATTGCTTTGACAATAACCCAAATTTAGTTCCAAAAATTTTACATGTTTCAGTAGATTACATTGGATTTGTAAATGGTACTTTGTTTTTATTTTAAGTACATAAATGTTTGATACAAAGGATTTAAAAATGCTCCACATTCTGCTGTTCCTCTTTCCAGCAGTCATTAGAGGAGTCTTAGCATGCTACTTCCCATTTTTTAGCAACTGATTAACAATTACGTGATTGTAAATAGGTAATTGCTGTATTATCTGGACATAACATTGCCACATTAATAATGTAAACCAAAGTAATCCAATAATGGAAACCTTTCTCATGCCATTAGTTCAAATGAGCATTTATGGATTAAATCAGCAAGTCATGCGCAACTGGCAAGTTAAAGCTTGGAAGTGAAGTCACTCATGTCTTCTTACAGCACCAGAAGATGCATTTATTCAGGACTTTGCCCAAGTCTCATCAGTGGTCCTGTCTAATTAACGGAGAAATTGTATTTCACTGGAGCTACGCCAAATTCTGTTTTCAACTTCACTGGTGAGGAGTGGGTCTGGGAAGCTGGGGAAGGGATCATGATCTCTCCTGTCATATTCCAGTTGATATTTAACTGATTGCTTTAAAAATGCATTTGTACATTTTAAAATGTAATTTCAGAAAAGTAAAATTCAAAGTTAAAAGATTATTTCAAAGCTGAAAAACTCATTCTGCTTATACAAAAAACAAAGCAAAACATTCTGACTTTGTTAATACTTTGATTTCAAATATCTTCTCATTAGCTCAATCTGCACTTTCTGGTGGATAAAATTTTATCCCCTTTCCAATTCATCTGCCTTACCTCTAATTAAGTCTCCCCAACCCTTCATCTTGTCCACAAGGCTGCTGTAGTGGTTCTGTTTGAAACTTGCATTTGGCTTCCATGTATTTGATTCTAAGTTTTGCAACATGCCCACTTCCTCTATTTGCCAAGCCAGGAAAACAAAATACTGTCTCTGTACACACACACACAGAATTTTTCTTAGGAGTGGGCTAGGCAGCAAAATTAGGATCTTGGTTTCAAAGACACTTTGCAGGCAAAGCAAGCTCATTTCAGAGAACTAGTTTGCTCTTCTGAAAAAAATAAAAGGGCAGAAACAAATCCCAATTGGCAAGCTTAGGAACACTTGCAGCAAGGCTTTGGCTCAGTCATCCTCAGTTGCACTGACTAAAAAGAATAAAAGCATGGCCTGCTTTTGGTAGGATCAAAGGTGTCAAAAATGGTGTAAGTAGATTTTTATTGTCTTCTGTGAGTTTTGATGGTTTTCTCAGTAAGTCTTGATTTCTTGTTGGACAACTTCCAGCAGTAACTGTAGTTTGTGTGTAAGATAATCTGAAAGGGTGGGAAAAAAAGAAGGAAGTTTAGTCCAGACGAAATCCTGAGACGTGGCTGAAAATCAGAGCATCAGCACTGATAGCTGGAGCATTTTAGGTTGGCAGATCATTGTATCTGTTTCCTTTCTTGCTATATGTTTTCCTCTACTGAGTGATTATTGATGCACCTCCATCCAACATCAAATCAAAAGAAAACAAGACTTGGAACAGAAACAACAAATTAAATTCAAACCTACACTCTCATTTCTGAAAAAACCCTTGTGCCACCATGCCTACATCCAAAGGAAATCTGTACTACACACTGCCTGGAGTGGAAATGTACTTCATTTCCACAGCTACATTTGTACCCAAATCATCCTGGCGTCTTCACCAAGCACACAGACCTCTGGCAGTACTCTTTTCCTAGCAGCCCTCTCCCTAGCATTTCAGCAAGCAAGTTTGTGCACGGGGTTACAGCGTCTGCCTGTAGTCTCTCCATCCTAACTTTTCATCTTTCCGCCTCATGTCAAGACAAATTTCACCCAGAGCTGTTGATCCCAAAGACATGATAAAGTTTAGTGGGTACTAGGGCTGGTGTGGGAAAGCAACCCTCTTTGTTCCCCCTGCTGGTAGACCTCAGCATTGTCTTTGTTAAAACAAATTTGGCTGTGGGAGCTGTGCCTTGGGAAAGACACCAGAGTGGTGCCAGCGGTCATGATTTAGGTTTCATGAGGTCTGTTGGTCAAGGAGCAATTTGCATCAGAGGTGAGCCCTGGGA